TATATATATATATATATATATATATATATCGCGCGTGCGCACTAACTCTCTCTCGCTCTTTCCCACGGTAATCGCAGCGGTCTGCTAAACGCTCGTCCGTTGCAACGGTCGCGGCAAGGCTGACGAGTAGTCCGCTCCTTAGGGATCTTGTTTCCTGGACGATCCCCTTTCGTCGCTTCTCACCGCGCTCAAAGTTCCTCGGCTTCGGTAATCGGCAATTTTCAGCAGCGTTGTCTCGAGACGTTATTTCTCTCGAGACACTGTCGCCGTCGCTGCTCGACTCGCGGCCTTGATCGGCACGCACCATTTTTTCCTGCCGGGATCCTCGGGACGGTCTTGTTCTCTCGATTTCCTGTTGTATCCTCCAAGCGTTCGCTGAAATTTAAATACAGCTGACGGTAGCGAGTATGATTTCGGTAGCTGTGTTCCCATATTAGCGAATATTCTGTACGATAGAATATTCGGGAACTCAGAACGATCGGAATAATCGAGAATTGTATAACGTCAAATAATGCGAGAGCGATGAGCTGGCGATCGAGACTCCTCCGTCCCTAGTCCTCGGATTCCGTTGGTCCAGGTGCACAAAATCTGAGACGCGAAGACCCTCAAATCTGCTCGGCTCGCACGAAATAACTTTGAAATCGAGTCCTACGGATTTACACGAAAAAACTACGCCGGAGCACGATAAGCAGTAACCTACGCGAAAGTTCTTCCGAGACGCGATACGCGAAAAAGTCATGAAATCGGCACACTTTTCCTTGGGACGGGCGCCTCCGAGGCTGCCACGTCGCAGTTCATAGAATGTCCGTTTTTACCTATTTTGAACGTCCTTGGAATATTCAAAAAAGGACCTATAGTGGACATTATTTTTAGTGTCCTTATTCGGTTCAATTTCCAAACAAAAACTATTCGTAAATGTTACAGTGTTTGCTGATTTCACTTGAAAATTTTAGGTTACTTGATTCCAATGTTACATCACATTTAAAAATTCTCATTGGCACTGGTGGGACTCAAACTTGGATCCGTGAGGCACCTCTCGATTATGAATCTGTTGCTTTAGACACGACATCATTTTATCGATCGATATAAACATCTTACATTTTGTCTATATACCAGGTTGATTGATAAGTCCTTAGAATGAAAATGAAAATACATTTTATTAGCAAAACTCAATTTTATTCTTCAACATATTATCCTTTTAGCTCAATACACCGAATCCAACGAGTTTCTAGCTTCTTTAAGCCTTCCAAATAATAAGAAGTTTTTAAACCGCCAAAATATGCGTCTGTTTCCCATTCAACCTCCTCATTTGAAGCAAATCTCTTTTCCTGGAGCCATCTTTTGATATTTGGAAACAAATAAAAATAACATGGGGCCAGATCTGGAGAATACGGTGGATGTGGGAGCAATTCATATCCCAATTCGTTCAATTTTGCCATTGCTTTTACCGATTTGTGAGCTGGTGCATTGTTTTAATGAAAGAGAATTTTTTTCTTCACTAAATAAGGCCTTTTTTCTTGATTTTATCATTCAATTAGTTCAACAATAATGCATAATATTCTTCTGTGATTGTTCTTCCTTTTTCAAGATAATCGATGAGAATTATTCCATGTGCGTTCCAAAACACAGTAACCAGAGCCTTTCCAGCCGGTTGTTGCGTTTTTGATCGTTTCGGAGTACTTCCACCCTTTAGAACCCATTGTGCCGACTGTTGTTTTGATTCAGGTGTATAATAGTGGATCCATGTTTCATCAACGGTTATGTATCGACGCAAAAATTCCTTTGATTTGTGCCTAAATATGTCCAAAAAATGCTAAGAAATGCGAACTCGTTCACGTTTTTAATCGATTGCTAGCAATCGCGGCACCTATCTTGCAGTTAGCTTTCTCATACACAAATGTTCGTGTAGGATATTGAACACATGTTCAGATGAGATGCTCATAGCCGTAGCTAATTCACGCAATTTCACTTTGGAGTCATCTAACACGATATCATGGATTTTTTCACTCATTTCCGGTGTAGCCATCTTATTTGGACGACCATTGCATCGTGCATCCGATGTGCTGGTACGACCACGTTTAAACTCAGCAATTCAGTTATGTACGGTTGCATTCTATGGAGCAGATTCCCCCAAAGTTTTTTGAAAGTCTTCAATCATTTCTTGCGGTTGCAAGCTTTTCAAGTATAAATACTTAATTACTGCACGAATTTCAGTTTTTTCCATTTTTACAAAATATCAGAGGTTATGTCTTTTCGGTGACTGTCACAAATATACTGATTGTCATAGCTGTCTGCAACTGTGTAGTGAGGGGTTTGAAAGTTGGCACTACTGGAAATTCACGGCACATTGGAGGTGGCAATACCACTAATGTGTTATTCTAAAGACCTATCAGTCAACCTGGTATGTTGTAATTAACACAGTAATATAATTTTCTGATAATATGATTTAGTAAAATGATTCAATTCCAATAAAAATTATATTTTTTGTACTTTTGTTGTTAATTTAACCCTTAGCTAATGAGGTAAGGTCTATAAAATTCCGTACATTCCATTTCGTTATCTTTAAATTTTTATAGTAAAAATTCTTTATTGTTCACTACTATTAAATAAAGTAAAAAAAGACTATAAACTTTGAGTAATTATAAAATAGTACTTCTTAAAAAAAAGAAAAATCTACTTTATTATGTAAGATTTAATTAAATTAATTAAATTTATATACATACAAATCAGCGCTTATTATAAGCAATGGGGTATTTGTCTAATGTAACCATAAAATGTAAATAAAATTAGTTAATAATAGTAATTTCTCACAAATTCTCAAAGTATCCCAAGTAATGACTCGCGAAACATTTATTATAATAAAGTTCCGAAGAATACTTTAGAATAAATTAGGCTCGGATAATTTTTCAGGAATTCTTCAGATATTCATCTAATTATTTATTTTTCTAATTATTTAGATATTTTTTTGAATGAATTTTCTATGAATTTCTATTCATCTCTGTGCTATCTGGGTCAACATTTTCTCATTAATATATCTTTGAACATCATCCTACTAACAGGATAATTGCAACGATACAATGCACGTGAGTAAAAAATAATAGGACATGTTCTATAAGGTTTATTTCTAAGAGCCAAATGCTTGAAGTATAAGCACATAAAAATAAATAACAACGTGTATAAATAATAATCTATTGGTTACATACACCACAGTTGATATAAATGAATATTAGATAAAAATCTGTCACGTTCTTTGCTTATCGAACAGCTGATTAAAAATGATCTCTCAAAAACGTATTATAGACGTCTTTAAATGACATTATTATCACATAAAAATTGTTCACGTTTTTTAAACGTCAGTTATTGGTTACATGACGTCTAGAACTGATAATCATCATTTATCAATGTGTAGATGACGTGGGATAAAATGTATATGCTGCCTGGGGATAAAATGATATGTAGCGTTGATAGTGTGCATTCTCAACATGCCTATGGTCGAATTTTATACTTAAGAGATTTACGTTCAAAATTGGATATCTTATGGACGTCCATTGCATGTCCATAGATATACATACGTAAAATGGACATAAAATGTACGTCCATAGAACATCCTGTGCTATCTGGGTAAAGAAATAGAAAGTGATAACGAATTTCAAATAGAAGAGGAGCAAGCACTAGATTTTTATGATCCAAATAAGGTTCCAGAAGCAGAAACAGTTGATTTGTTGGATCATGATGAGGGTGAGAATTATCTTCTAGAAGAAGTTATTTGTACTCCTGTTGGAGCAGCAATATCAAGCGACTACAAAAAGAACACTGGAGAAACGCTAAAACAAGACCAAGATCTTTGGAATCGGTTAAGAAAAAATTATAAAAAAGTAACATCGCTATGATAATTACGACGATGGAAGAAGTACATCAATGCAGGTGGTACTAGAAGAGAAAAATTGCAAAGAATTTCTGAATATACATTAAACAATTTTAATCATGCGCTCTAAAAAGAATGATAATTCATGATATTGACATCACTCGATGGGTTTCTCGAGCACAACAAAAGGAAAATGCGCTAGGATTCATAGCATCGGATAGGTGAGTACAAAATTCAAAATTGAACATAATATAGTATCTCGTAAAGTAATGAAATTTATTAGAAAAAATTTTTCTTATTAAAATCAGAATTGGAAAATAAGTGCGAAACATTTATAACAAATATAAAATATTTTATTAATCAATATGGAGTAGAAAATATTTACAATTCGGATCAGAGTGGATTCCAGTTAGAACTTTACGCCGGTCGTACTTTAGCAAATAAAGGTGCAAAAAAGAAATAGAATCTGCAGTACAATCTGTATCAAGAACCACGCATAGTTACACAATATAGCCTATTTCCACAATATAGACTATTTCCGCTGATGGTAGACTAATGTCGCTTCTTTTGATCGTATTAAAAGAAGCCACAGGAACGTTTGGTCCACGAGTGCAGGAATCGTTATTTAACGCTCCTAACATTTATAGAATGGCTTCAAAATCAGGTAAATTAAATCATGTAAAAACCTGATTAAGAGAAGTTTTCTTTCCGAATGTCGAGCCACAATCCGTGTTACTATTAAATTTTTGGAGTGGATATTGTCCCAACATAATTGTCAAAACCAGAACAGATTCTGAAACAAATATTATGTTCCTAACAATTCCGGCTGGTACAACGGGAAAAATGCAACCACTAAATGTATATGGTTTCCTCTTGTGGAAAAATTTTATCAAATATTTATCTGATATTGTTATGTTATTAGATCTTGCAATTGATTTTCATAATAGGAATAATATCTTGAAATTACAGTCATTAACCCCTTCATTGCCGAGAACAAAGATCTTTGTTTTTTTGGACTTGGCCCAAACTGCCGGAAAATCACAAATCTTTGTCCTATAAATAAATGCTCTACTGATGCCTGATAATGCATTAAACGTGAACAGAATGTGTTTTCCTATGTTTTCGGGGTTGCTGAATATGATTCCGAGGTCCATTTTATACTATCTCGCACCCATGACCGACTAGAGCTATAAGAAAATGACTATTTTTTTTCATTTTTTGGAAAATCTTTGTCCTCGCACACTCAAGTTTTATACCACATTTAAACAGTGTTATTCTGATAAGCTATATCATTTACGAGTAAAAGTAACTCAATTCATGACTTTTTGCTACTTTTACCAGATATATCATTTTCTTCGTAGTTTGACCCGCTAATTCATCTTTTGCGTGAATTACCCTTGACATCAGCCGAACATTCATCTTCACTACTTGAACCGACTAATTCACAAGATCTTCTTTTCATTGCAAATATTACAATATTTTAATATCAAGAGAAATAAAAAATGAAGGAATTTAAAAAAAAATTGTTTGCAGATATGTCTGGTTACAATAGCATCCAAATAATTTATTGCATAAGCGATACAAATGAACTCAATTTATTAAGTAGTATAAAAAATGGTCAGTAAAAAGCTTTTAAACAAAATAGGTAACATGTCGATGAAAATACCCCAAAAATGGTATGTTCAGTTAAAATTGTCAAAGTTTCTAAGTTCGGCAGTCTGGACACATTTCATCTAAATACTCTGGCAGTGAAGGGGTTAAGAACGCACCATCAATTCTTGTCACGCAGGTTTCAAAATTTATTTAAATTTGCATGGTTCAAAAGTGGGTATTTATAGAATAGTAAGAGTTTGAAACACCGGTTGATTTTTGTTTCAAAAAACGTTTTAAAGTAAAATGTGATATTTGTAGCGATACTGCTGTAATTACTTGTTCTTGATGCAAACGATCACTTTGCATCACACTTTGCTATGAGCACCATCTTTGTAACGAATATGTGTCATAAATAAAACACCTTTATTTTCTATGTGTGTAAATTCTGTATCGATTTTTCTTTATATTATATTAATTATATGATTTTAATAGAATATAATAATATTATAAATTGTAAACATTATATGTTAAATATATGCAACTGTCTATGTATTATTTTTCTACAATTTATTACATTCCCCTACAATAACGTATCTATCTACAATATCCATCTACTTGGACAGTGTGGCGTTTATAGCACGATATTATCACGTCGTTTTCCAACAATTTAATGGAGACCAACTTCTATTATATATGAATGGATTTGGCTCTACAATTTTTCTCCTTATAAAAACTTAAAACTTTTGCAAAGGTAACAAGTTGGGGAAGGGATTTAAAAAATTTGACATTTTTAAAAAATTTAAATATATCGTTGAAAAGAGTATTAACCCTCAGTTCCTAGACTAAATGGGGTATACCTGAACGTATTTTTCAACGAATTATAGCTCCGAAATCCAATAGGGAGAGGGGGGGGGGAGTTAAGAAGGAGGAAAAATCTTAGAGATCCTCACTGCTATTGTGCGACTTAACTTGGCTCAGTCGGGTCGTAACTACCGAAATGTACAGATATAAAGGTTTTGTTCGGGTGTCGGACACCCAGTGTAGTAACAGTGTCAGAAAAAGTTTGTTCAGTGAAATCAAGTCAAAGGTAAATATCGTTATAAATAATTATTTATTCGCATAAAATAACAGTGATAGTGTTTTTATTAAATTTCGCATAAAAAGTGTAATAATAGTATATTGTTTTAGATTATGGAGACACGTTCATCGATTCGCCGAGCAGCCAAGCTAGTTGTAACGTACGCAGAGCCGGAGGAGTTTGAAGATAAGACAAGTGACTCGAAGATAGGTGCTGAGGACATCTGCGAGGAACAGTGTGAAAATTCATCAGAGGAAAATATTTCGAGCGAAAACAAGGAGGAAGAAGACACAAACGAAGAGGACTTCGCACCATGGTCGAAACGCGGTCGACCGTCTTACTTGCATTCAAAGAGCGGTTACATACGAAAACGGCTGCTCAATTGAGGGGAGCTAGGCGCTCTATAGAACAGCGTGTTTATAATTCTGCTCCGAAAGGTCAAGCACTCCAAGTAAAAATACCACTTCAAACGTGGTCCCTTCTACTAACGAATGAAAATTTTAATATTATTGTGACTCACACAAATGAATAATTCGATCGTAATAGACAGTGTTACGAAAGTCCAGATATTACTTACCATAAACACACCGATTTTCTCGAAATAAAAGATTATTTTGGGTTACTGTATTACACCGGATTATTTAAAATAAATAATACGAGACCTTCAGATTTATGGTCTGTACACTCTTTACCTTTGTTTCGAGCGACTATGCCCCGGCGTATTACGTGTATAACTTTGCTTCCGCCGTTTTCCTATAGATGGCTTTAGCGGTAAGTGGTGGTCGAAATAAATAGATCATAGACGTCATACAATAAACTTGGGCATCTGTCAACATAATCCCATAGAAACATTAGTCGATTTGTGTCTGCATCCTAAAGTTATTCTCGAAAATTGAATTGAAAATGTCAGTTTACAAGCCAAATTCTCGTCATTTGCAGGAGGTTTTAATTTTCTGCTTCAATATGAAGAAATCTGCGGCTGAGGCTCATCGAATAATACTTATGGTGAGGCCGCTATTAGTGAAAGAACGTGTCGTGAGTGGTTTCAACGCTTCATGAACGGCGATTTTGACGTCGAAAACCGGCATAACGGTGGAAGAGAGAAGGTTTTCGAAAATGCAGAATTGGAGGCATTACTTGATCAAGACTCATGTCAAAATCAAGAAGAATTGGCACGATCATTGGGAGTGACTCAACAAGCCATTTCAAAACGCCTCAAAGCCATGGGAATGATTCAGAAGCAAGGAAATTGGGTGCCGTACGAATTGAAACCGAGAGATGTTGAACGGCGTTTGTTTGCTTGTGAACAGCTGCTTGAAAAGCAAAGACGGAAGGGATTTCTGCATCGCATTGTGACTGGGGACAAAAAATGGGTTCATTACGATAACCCCAAGCGCAGAAAATCATCAGTTCCCGGCCATGCTTCCATGTCGACGGCCAAATCGAATATTCACGGCTCCAAGGTCATGCTCTGTATTTGGTGGGACCAGCTCGGCGTAGTGTATTATGAGCTGTTAAAACCGATTGAAACAATCACTGGCAATCGGTATCGAACGCAATTGATGCGTTTGAGCCGAG